GAAAGAAGATTTGATATGGGCTAAGAGGATGAATATAAACTAAAAATGGGAAGAAAACATTAGCAAATGACAAATCTGATTAAAGCACCATTATTTAAAATAAACTAAGTAATAATCTATCACCAATACAAAAACAAGCAAAACAATTCCATTGAAAGAAATGGACAAAAGATTTAAATCAAAGAAGACGAAGAGATGGTAGTTAATTATATGAAAATATGTTCAGCATATCATCAAGAAAATTCAGTTCAAAATTAGGAGAAAATGCTCAACACATGTTAGTAATAGAAAAGGGGATAACAGAGTACACGAGACCTAAAGGAAGGAGTGGGAAAATGGAGAGGTCTCTAATTAGAGAGGAGACAGATAAATACAGAAGGGAGGAGTGTAAAGATCACAATGAAGATATTTGAAAAAGTCATAAAAAATCATACATTAACTCTTTACATAAAAACACCTATAATACGTATTACACCTACATATAAATACACATATATTGATTACATGAAATCTTCTCATCTGAGCTGGCAATGTTTTCCTGAACAGATGCAGAGTATCTGATAAAAGCCCCAACTTCAGGCATGAGAATTCCTCTTTTGAAATTGTTGGTGAGAAGGACCTAAGACCAAAACATTCCATGGTATTGCTATTAACCTTGGTTATCCCCACCCCCCACCAAGAAGTGAAAGGTAAGTCCCTATTGCTGAAGATACCATGCACTTCAGACACTAAGCTTCCAGAGTTAGAACTGACCAAAATGCCTCCTCCTTGAGGACTAGCTTTCATAGTACTAGAAGGTGCCATGTAAACTTCCAAAGAAGGGAAGTAACCAACACTCCTATGCAGCTATGACACGAATCACAATAATGTCCAGCATGACACAATAACCCTAAGAGTCCAGTAAAAGTATGCATATGTTGACAGCAACCAACAGCTCTTTAATTGGACTTAAGACCCACTCAAGAAGAGGGAAATCATGCCTGGTATTAGAAACCTAGCCAACTACCTAGGACTAGTGAGGTCATTAATATTTGTAGAGAACGTACAACCATCACTTTACTAAACCGAAATAAGCCTTAACTGCATTCTGAATATGTATCCTTCTATCCACAGATATAAGTGTAGCAATTTCCCTTTGCAACAGAGACCATCACATAAAGCCATTAACCAATCAAATTGCAGGGTTGAGAGTTGTGGAACCTAGTCCAAACTGATACATGTACAGCACAGTTCCTGTACTTAAGGCTCTGGGATCATTGCAGAAGAACGAGATTTGAGAAAAAAAATTCTTGGAGCCAGAGGAACAGTAAGTTTTGCTGTGAGGTTGAGTCTCCTAGATATGTCAAAGAAGCTAAAACCATGAGATTTCACTAACATGAATGCCTAAATACAATCTGAACAAAACCAATATCAATAGGTATGCTAGTGCAGGAAGGAGGAAAGCTCATATTGTATCAACCATACACAAAGAACTACAGGAAACTAAAGAATGCTGACTGCAGGAGAAATATTCTTCCCCAAGCGAGAGCACATGGGTTGGTTATCTAATACCAAATAGTCAGACCTGAAAACAAACATAGAAATAACATTAAACAAACTGAGAAGGTTGTACTTACAAATATAAGAAATTAATTTTTTAAAGAAAGCAATGTGGGTATATTGAGGGAGTAGAAAGGAAGGGGGAAATGATGTAATTGTAATATCAAAATTTTTTTTAAAATTGAAGATTAAAATAATGAGAACCCACCCATAGAAAAGTGAAAATCCAGTACTTCAACCAGGCACGGTAATACATGACTTTAATCCCACTGCTCAAGGAGGCAGAGGCAGGTGGATCTCTGTGAGTTTGAGGCCAGCCTGGTCTACAAAGTGAGTCCAAAAAGGCCAGGGTTTCACAGAGAAACCCTGTTATGAAAAAAAAAATTATTTCAATATCACCAACTGCTGGCAAAGATGCAGACTGAGTTTTTATTCACTGCTGGGAGAATGTAAAATGGCACAGCCACTTTGAAAGGAAGTCTGGCAGTTTCTTACAAATCTAAACCTACTTATATCATAGGACTCAATAAACATATGCTCTGATATTTTCAAAGGAATCAAAACCTTGTGTATTTAAAACATCCTGCCTGGCTGGAGAGAGGACTCAGAGAGGTTAAGAGCACTGGCTCTTCTACCAGACATCCTGAGTTCAATTCCCAGCAACCACATTGTGGCTCTTAACTATCTATAGTGATATCTGGTGCCCTCTTCTGGCGTGTAAGCACACATGCAGGCAGAACACTGTATAAATAATAAATTTTTAAGAAAGAACCTCTGCACTGAGGTAGCCTATGACAGTTCAGTGTCCAAGTGGCCTCCACAATAATGGGGACAGGACAGGGACTGTCTCTGACATGAACACAGTGGCTGGCTCTTTGATCACTTCCCCCTGAAGGGGGAGCAGCTTTACCAGGCCACAGAAGAAGACAATGCAGCTACTCTTGATAAGACTAGTCTGATAGACTAGGATCAGAGGGAAGAGGAGGAAGACGTCCCTTATCAGTGGACTAGGAGAGGGACGGGGTGGGGAAGAGGGAAGGTGAGATTGGGAGGGGAGGGGAAAGAGAGGCACAGGGGGGATATAAAGTGAATAAACTATAATTAATAAAAATAATTATAAAATGCAAGAAAAGTGTTCAAGGTCACCCTTAACTACATACAGAGTTCAAGGTCAGTTTGGACCTACTTGAGAACTTGTTTAAAACAAAACAAAACAAAGCAAAAAGACCTCTCTGTGAACATTCTGTGTCACCTTCAGGGTGTACATCAAGAACATAAAAAAGAAAAAAAATAACCTCCCCCCGAGGGAGGAGCAACCTCGCTAGGACACAGAGGAAGACATTGCAGCCAGTCCTGATGAGACCTGATAAACTAGGGTCAGATGGAAGGGGAGGAGGACCTCCCCCATCAGTGGACTTAGAGAGGAGCAGGCAGGAGATGAGGGAGGGAGGGTAGGATTGAGAGGGAATGAGGGAGGGGTAATAGCTGGGATACAAAGTAAATAAACTGTAATTAATATAAAAAATTAAAAAATAAATCCTACATGCAGATGCATATGACAGATTTATTCATAACCCCCAAAACTTGGAAACAACCTTAGTTCCTGAGTAGCTGAATGAATAAACAGCAGTGCATTCAGAATGTGGATTATCTCTCAGTGCTAAAAAAATTTGGGCTCTTGACACATGAAGAAAGACAGAGGAAACTGAAACATATATTACTGAATGAAGGAAGTCAATCTAAAATGACTTCATTTTAATAGTATGACATGCTAAAAAATTCAAATGAGTGTTTGCAATAAGCCGAGAGAGGAAGGGTGAGTAAAGCACAAAGGACATTTAAGGCAGTGAAAATACTTGATATTATAATGGTAGATGTCTACGCATTTGTTAAAAGCCATGGAATATGCCACCTTGAGAGAGAAAACCCTGTTGTAAATGATGGATTTGGGGTGACAATGTATTAAAGTATGTTTATGATTGTAAAACATGCACCACTTAGGCACAGGATGTTGATTCTAGGAGGGATGCTGTATGTCAGTGACAAGGGGTGTATGTTATTTCCATTTGATTATATTGGGAACCTGAAATTTCTCCTAAAAATAAAGTCTAGTTTGTTTTGGCTTTATTTTGGTTTGGTTTGATTTTAGGTTTTTGACACAGGAACTCTTTTATTATGTAGCCTTGGCTGTTCTATAACTCACTATATAGACCAGGCTGGCCTCATAGAGATTCCCTTCTGCCTCTGCCTCTGCCTCTGCCTCTGCCTCTGCCTCTGCCTCTGCCTCTGCCTCTGCCTCTGCCTCTGCCTCTGCCTCTGCCTCTGCCTCTGCCTCTGCCTCTTCAATTAAAGACAACTGTTAACACACCCTGCTAAAGTCTAGCTTGTTTGTTTGTTTATTTGTTTCAATGATGCAATACGGAATCCTAGAATGAAGCCCCTGGACTAGAGGAAAAAACATTAAGGAGAAAAAACTGATAGTAATTCCTTACATTTCAATAATTCAAGTAGCACATATATTGTTAACATTAAACTCTGTACTATTTTGCAAGATAACAAAGCATTTATTGTTGTCTTCTTCCTGACAGTAGATGCAATATATCAACTGTTTCAAGCTCCTACTACCTTGATTTCCCTAGCTTGATACACTTATTGTACCTTGCACTGTAAGGAAAAATAAACAACCATCCCTTGTTTAAGTTTCTTTTTCTGGACATTTGATTTTTTTAATTAATGGGGAGGGGCAGGTATACAAGTTACAGAAGTGAGGGTTCTCCCTGGAGCCGGAGTTCTAAGAGATTGCCAGCCACCTGACATAGGTGCTGGGAATCAAACTCGGGTTCTATAGAAGAGCAGTACATGTTCTTGACCATTGAGCCATCTCTCCATCCCCATGTGTTACCTTTGTTTTTTGTCACAACAACAAGAAAAGCAAACGAGACACTCAATGTTGGGCATAGTGCTGACTGCTTTACAAATACTAACCCATTTGCTGTGATAATCGCTTCATATACCTACTGTAATCTCTCTTTGGTACCTTAAGAAGCTGAGTAACCAAAGGCATTTACCTAGTGATAGAGATGAGATTTCAACATGAGGTTTGGGTCTCAACCACATTCTTATACTTTCTTTCACTAACATAAGTAATAGGAAAGATTAAGCATCCTGATCTAAACAAGAACATCTGAAATCCAACATGCTCCAAAATTCCAAATTGTAAGGAAAGTTTTGGAATATTTTTGGTTTCAAATTGTCAGATGAGTAATGTTTCTGCAAATATTCCAAAACATAAAACACTCACCAAAACATGAAACACTTTTGATCCAAAACTTGGGAAAAGAACAGTGACAACAAATATGACCATCATCATATTAAAGCTATCCTTGCCTGCATTATTTTAATAGATTTTTAGAAAGAAAAATGAAAATCTGACAGTCTAATGGCTGCAAGAATAAAGTTACCTTCTGTTTTCCTCTGTAATCTTCTCCTTCAAACTTGTACAAACTTTGTTCAAGGTCCATTCTAAAATTTCTTAGAGATGACTCTCCCATTTTCTGCATGCGTTCATTCATCTCTGCAGTCTAAAGTTGAATATATTGAAATGAGAAAATTATCAATGAATCAACTTTAAAATATGAATTTTCTGTTTTTCTGGAATCTAGGTTTGACATGAGATATCTACTCTGCTAAGTGACGAGGGAAAAATGCAATGCTAGAGGCTGGAGAGCTGGCTCAACAGTTTAGAGTACTAATGGCTCTTATAGAGGATTTGAATTCAATTCCCAGCACCCACTTGGTGGCCACTCATAACCATTACTAACTCCAGTTCAGGTTTATTTGACACACTCTTCTATCCTTTAGGGACACCTCTAGACATGCACATGGTGTGCAGGCATACATTCAGGAAAACACCCATACACATAAAATAAAATGAAATGAAATAAGGCAGTACTGACAGAGGAGGTGAGAACATACTTTTCTTGACTTGATAGTCTGTGGTAGAGCACTTACATATAAAATGCAAGGCTTTACATCCTATCTCCTGTCACACACACACACACGCATGTGCATGTGCACACACACGCTCAGACTCCTAAAAATTTAATTTGTCTCAAATATTTGAAAACATTAAATGTTTCATTCCCAAATATTTTCACTCAGTGCATCTTTAACAAGCATTTATTACTGAATATATTTGCATTGTATAATTTTTTTTCTTTAAAGGAGTTTATTGTTGTTTTATAATACTGGGACTTGAACCTGAGTCCTCACACCTGTTAGGTGAGCATTCTACCACTAAGCTATGTCCTACCTCCTCATCTGAATAATTTTAATGAGAGAAATAGCTAGTACTATCATAAAGGCAAGGTTAAACTAAAACTCTTTTTGCATATTGATATAAAACATAGTAACACAAGATTGTTCTATGACCTTTAAAACAAAAACATTTTGAGAATCAAGTTGAACCTTTGCAGGATACTTACTACATTTTTGTTATTTTTTCCCCCCTCAAAGGCTCGTGAGCTATAAGTGTGGTCCCCACTGTAATGGTATTGAGTTGGTGCAATGTCAAAGAGATGTTGTTTATGTCTTCAAGAGAGATTAAAGGTTTTCTTTCAAGAGTAAGTTAGGCCTGCTTGCCAGCTCTTGTGAGACTGAATACATTACCACACAATCGGTTGTCATAAAACCAGGAAAGCTTCTTCTACAGTTCTCCTGTTTCCTCTCTCTTGTACACACATGCTTTCACCATATAATGCTATCCTCTATAAGGCACTCACTGGAAACCAAGGCTCTTGAACTTCCAAAAATGTTTTTCCCTTATAAAATATTAGCTTCAGGTATTATATTCTAAAAAGATCAAAAGAACTAAGACCATCCTGAACATGTTTAAAAGGGCCAGAGATATGTAATCCACAAAATCTATACAATGATGAAATCAAAAGGCAAACAAATCACTTACTCTTTTTACCAGGTAAATTTAAGTAAAAATACACAAACATATATGGACAACATCTCCATCAACTGCAAAGTACAGGCTTTACATGCACTTTTTTAAAAAGAAAATATTTAAGTACAACTAACTAGCTATGAAACACTTAGAAGTTTGAGTAGTTAATGGATATTTAATATCTGATCTTATTTTTAAAATACTGAGATAGTTTTAGGAGAGACAAAGCTGTGATGATTCTGTTTTTTTAAATGTAAAGGGTGATAAGCACATGGAAATTCATTATACCTTTCTATCTCCCTTTTTTCTTATGTTTGAAACTACCATAATTTGTGGAATGAACCTATTAGACACAAAATTGCAATACTGTAAAACCACCTAGGGTTATTTGATAAAGAATGTTTTAATGTTTCACTCTGTTTACCAAAAACAAACAAACAAACAAAAAAAAAACACTTTCAGTTAGTGTATTGTATCCAATACACTGCAAAAAAATCACAAAATGCAGTCCTTCCATATATGACTAAGTACAGTATCTTCAAAAAGACATAAAATCACTTAATTTTAAATGTTGCTGCCTAGTGTTGCTAATCTAAAAATTAAACTAAAATAAAGCCTTACCTGCAAACACAATCCTACCAGTTCTTAGGAAGAACGTAATATAAAACATGAAGTTCAACATGAATACAACATGTATGTGTAAACTTATGGGTTATAAATAACCCATCAGAGAAATATAGTGTAATTTTGAACTAACCTTCTTTTCACCTCTTTCTAGAATAGTTGTAATATCTTCATCTGTCAGCTCACTTTCTTTACAGGCAAAAACATGGGTGGCTCCATGACGTATCATTTGTAACATTTCTTCTTTCGCCAGTTTGTTAGACTGTTGGTCAATGAGTCTTCCTAATAACAATTAAAATGAAATATATATACATATTCAATTATATTTCAAAGAAAGTACAGTACAATGAGTCTGATCAGACACTATTGCATTAAATCACACATAAAACAGCTTTAGGAGAAATATTGGTGAAATTAATATTATTTATTTAATAAATGACTGGCGGTTTTTCTTCTACCACATTTTCCATTTCATTATTTCTGTTACTACTTGTTTGTGTTCCAACTTCATTTTTTCAGATAATTTCTCTGTATGGAAATATGCTCTGACATATATTTGCTTAAATTTTTCAGAAGCTGATATTTATCTGCTAAATAGTGTAAAATACTGCAAAACTCACATCATTGGCATTCAACTATAACCGAATGAGTTTATTTCATATACTGAAGGCATAGGCTTAAATTACAAAGATTACAAACATTTTTATAAAAATTATTTACATGGAAGTAAAATTATATAAACTGAGTAGGCTATATTTAGGAATATACATATATGCATGTAATTAACAATCAACTAAAAAAGAAGCCATTAATTTGAAAGTGCAAGGAGGAGTACATACATGGGAAGGTTTGGAGAGAAGAAAGGAAAAAAGAAATGATGCAGTTATAACACAAGCTAAAAATAAAAGGAAAACCGATTATTTCATTCAGTTTACAATTTTTGTTCAACTTTTATTGAAAGTAATCTCTTTTGAAGGAAACTAAATATGTTTTACGTTTCCCCAAATTAATGAAGTTTCCACATAGAAATACCTTGCTGTATAACAATTGAGTCAAGTCTCAGTTTTATCTCAGCTCTCTCTACAATCCTCTCTTCCACAGTGTTGTCAGTAATGAGACGGAAGACTCTTACTGGCTTCCTCTGACCAATGCGATGTGCCCGATCCTAACAGAAAGAGGCCAAGTGTAAGATGCTGGAGACTGCAGACAAGACTTAGACATACAGATATCATGTTGTAAGTATCTAAAAATAAAATTCAGAGTTCAATCTCTCTAAACCTGTCACTTTTGCAAGGAGGAGAATGGATGTTAAGAATATCCAAAGACCAAAAAAAAAAAAAAAAAAAAAAAAAAAAAAAAACAAAAAACTTCGGGAAAAAAAAAAAAAAAAAAAAAAAAAATCTCTAAGTGTGCTATGCTGCTACTGGGAAACTTCCAGAATGTCATAAAGCTAATCCTCTTAAAAATGAGGACAAATAACACCTAAGGCTTCTGTACCGAGTTACTAAGTAACTTTAACTCATTTAATGAAAACATCACCAGGAGGAGCAAAGAGTTTTTAAAGGAATAAAGTAGTTAGCAAGGGCTGCTATGATGACAAAAGTCTGCTTTATCTCATCATCAAGCAGTTCTTTCTGCTTACCAAGGCAATTCTGGAATACATAGTAAAGGCTCATGAATATAAATGAGATCATCATAATTTTAAAATACTAGAGTGTTTCCAGTGGTTTCTAATTAGCAAAGGTGGTAGGTGGCAACTTCTGGTGAAATATAAGCATGTGGGGAGAATGTTTAAAATGCAGAAACTAACAGAGCAAATGAGAATAGTGGGGATATTGGGAGAATCAAAGAAACGGGCTTGAAAATAGTCCTTGTACCAAACATAAAGACACTACAGCCCAATAACCAATTTCTCAATGACATGCTCTCAAAAAGAATTCAATATTCTACAAATATCTAAACATTTAAACTCCAACTAGTAATCCCTGAATGACCATAATGTGATAAAGCACACACACACACACACACACACACACACACACACACACACACACACTTTATTTACAGGGCTGGAAAGATGTCTCTGTAGGTAAAGTGCTTACTGTTGAAACCTAAGGACCTAAGTTTGTAAGTTAGTATCTCTAGCACCAACATAAAAGCCAGACAAGTACCCCCTAGTGGGGCGGCATTGCAGGACACAAAGGAGAGGATGCAGGCAGTCAAGATGAAACTTGATAGGCTGGGGTCAGGGGAGAAGGACTTCCCTTTTCTGAGGATAAGGGGAGAGGGATAGAAGAGGAAAAGCGAAGGAGGGTGGGACCAAGAGGAGACAGGGTAGGGGGCACCCCCAGGGAAGGAATGTAAATGAATAAATTTTAAAAAAACTAAACTTAAAAAAAAAAGCCAGGCATGAGTATCAGTATCTCCTTTGATACCATCGTGGGTAAAGTTTTTCAGAGGTCCTCTGTGGAAGGTTCTTATACTGTTCCTTGTCTTCTCCTACATCCAATGTCTGTCCTGTTTGTCCTTCTGAATGAGGATTAAGCATCTTCCCTAGGGTCCTCCTTGATGCTTAGCTTCTTTAGGACTATAGATTTTAGTAGGTTTATCCTATATTGTATGGCTAATATCTACTTATAAGTGAGTACATACCACATGTGTCTTTCTTCTTCTGGATTACCTCACTCAGGATGAGACTCATAGCCAAACTTCAGGCAGAGTGCCAGAAAACTTATGGAAGAAGAGGAAGATAGAAAGACCTGGAGGGGACAGGAACTCCACAAAGAGAACAACAGAGCCAAAGAACCTGGGCCTAGGGGAGGCTACAGATACGAATACTCCAACCAAGGACCTTGCATGGAGAGGACCTAGACCCCCTATTCAGAGAAAGCCCATAGGCTTCTCAGTTTTCAAGTGGGTTCCCTAGTAAAAGGTACAGGGGTTGTCTCTGACATGAACTCAGTGGCCAGCTCTTTGATCACCTCCCCCTGGGGGGTTACAGCATTATCAGGCCACAGAGGAAGATGATGCAGCCAGCCTTGATGAGACCTAATAGGTAGGGTCAGGTAGAAGGGAGGAGGTTTTTCCCTATCAGGGGACTGGGGAAAGCACATAAGAGGAGAAGAGTGAGGATGAGTGGGACTGGGAGGAGACGATGGATGGGGCTGCAGTGGAGATATAAAGTGAATAAATTGTAATAAATAAATAAATACATACATACATACATACATACATACGTACATAATTTATTTTTAAAAAGCCAGGCATGATGGCTCACACATACAACTCTAGTACTTGGAGGATTAGACCAGGGGCAGGTTAGGGGTGAGGCACTGTCCAATCTGTTAAGCTAAGGTGACAAGATCCAGGTTCGGTTAAAAAAAAAAAAAAGTGCTCAAAAATAAGATAGAGAAGCAATTGAGAATTATACCCTCGGATCATTCTCTGACTTCCAAATGTGCCCTCTCAGGAACACACACCCTTACAAATGTATACAATACCACACATACACACATAGAGAGACAGAGACAGAATGTCCTCAAACAGCACATTTTCCATTCTTACATTTTTACCTATCCCTCCCAATTATTTTATTACAAAACTTAAATCTGACCTTTTCCAATTTCAGTACTACAGATTTGTATTAACATAATCTAACCATGCAGCCCCAGCTGGCCTGGAACTTGCTATGTAGACCAGGCTCACCTCAAACTCACAGAGATTTTCTTGCTTCTGCCTTCGAATGCTGGGATTAAAGACCACCATGCCTGATCTAAACATTTATTATGTACTTCTTAAGAAAAATAATGAAATTGATTTTTAATAATTCTCACTAAAAGAAACTCTGGAAGCCTCCTCAATACTCAGGAATAAGAAAAAGCTGACATTTATAATCTATGAGAAAAGCAAATATGTGTGTGTATAAGTTTTACATTTATAGTTGAAGCATACTTGTTAGTTTTCATCTCTATTATTTGTTTCTGCAATTAACTCGACATCTTTAACTCTAACTTCTAGAAAAATCACTTCAAAATCGTTACTATTTAATCACTCATTGCTTTTGTACTGCATAAACAACAGCATTCTGAGCTTCAATAATTTCCAGGCAGGCATCATTAAATGTTACTAACCATAGCTTGTAAATCAACCTGTGGATTCCAGTCTGAATCATATAGAATAACCACATCAGCACTTGCCAGGTTTATTCCAAGACCTCCAGCCCTTGTACTCAGCATAAAGATGAATTTGCAGCTATTTGGAGCATTGAAGGCCTCTATTGCTTCCTTTTTTAATTAACAAAGGGATATAAAAAAAGAAAACCTGAATTATATTCCAAACCTTAAGAAATAGAAAAGTTAGCATGCTCACAGAAAATACTTTTATACTTTATATATAACCTACTACTTTATAATAATATTCTTCCATATTCAAAGCTATTTTTCTATATACTGCACTGTATAAGCAGCTGGAAAAAAGATGTTTTTATAAATGAAGTTTGCAAATGGTAAGCAACAGAAAAAACATAGATCATACAAATAAATTTAACTAAGAATATGACTCATTTGTATTCTTTGAAAATAATAGTAAAACTGTTCTAATTGATTAAGAGCTGAAATAAATATTCAGGTAAAATGTCAGAAATATCAATATCATCCTGATAAATAGGATGTGGCTAAGTTCAATCAAGAGAAAGAAGAGTTGAGAAATGTAAATGAGTGTAAGATGATCTATATTAGTATAATGACAAAGGGAAAATGGTTAAATAATCAAGAAAATCAGAATGACATATCCAGAGATATTTAATAAAGAACCTTAAAATTTAATATGTTGTTAATATCCTCTATAGAAAAATCTCATAAACATTAATTAGGAAAATGTTGACTCCAATAGAAAAATGAGTTTGTGAACTGAACAACTTCTATTCACAGAATAAATACAAATATGTAAAAACTACAAGAATAATGCTCATTTCTCACTAGTAATCAGATAAATGCAAACAAACAATACAATTGCATTTTAAGGATGAAAAACAATAATACTCAATGTTGGTGAGGGAGCAGAGGGATATTGCTTCTGGAAGTGTAAATTAGAACAACCTTTCTGGAAAGCAATTTGGCAATATGCATCAAGAGCCTTAATAATGATCATACCCTTTGACCCAGGAATTTCACTTCCAGGAATTTATCCCAAGGAAATAATCAGAGATGTGCACAGTATTTATGTATAATGACTTTTACTGTACCATTATTTACAACAGTGAAAAATTGGAAACAACCTAAATCATTAACAATAAGGGAACACATTATGTAGAGTACATTATTAAGGTTAAATATTTTCCTAAAACTATATAATGATTATTTTTACTGACATAGCACAGTATAAACCTGATTTAAAGTACCAGGATATTGAACTTGATATATAGCACATATATATAATATGGTATCAATTTCTTAGATATTATTTCTCATTAAATCTCAAAATATTTCCCACAGATAACTGATTTTGAAAATCTCTCTCAGTACTCATACTTATGTAGTCACAAATGCATAGTTTGGGGTTTTGTTGTTGTTGTTTTGTTTGCTCTTTTTTGAGACAGGGTTTTTCTATGAAGCCTTGGTTGTCCTGGACTCGCTTTGTAGACCAAGCTAGCCTCAAATTCACAGCAATCCACCTGCCTCTGCCTCCCAAAAGTGCTAGAATTACAGGCATGTGCCACCACACCTAGCGCACAATTATTTTTTGATGCAGTAGAAAAACACAGTCTCAGGTCTAGTCAGACAAAGTGACTAGCATTACCACAGTCAGTACAGCATGAATCTGTGGAGTATAGACAGCAATAAGGTTTGATAACAGACAGCCTGGTGTAGGGGAATTAGTGAAAACCTGGGAATGAAGCACAACTCAACTATGTGTATACATTTGAGACACAAGCCTTTAACTTATCTGAGACACAATTCCATGTGACAAAAGTTCTATCAGTACCTTACCCAGGCTATTGGGAGAATCATTTGGAAGCTCAAGATACCTAGCTTATAATAATTTCTTGAAAAATGTTGTCTTTTCCCTATAAAAGTGAAACCAATTAAATCAGAGGATGAACGGAAATCTATCTAGCTGAGCTTATCCATAGGGAAAGGGCAAATGTCAGAAATATTGGGGGGGGGGGATCTCCACTGCTGATATATAAAGCCAAGAATCAAATGTATCAAGAAAAGACATAAAATGAATATATGAACAAAAACACAAACAGGGCATTTCCCAGGGAAAAGAAAGAATGGTCTGACTTCTCTGTATTCAAATTCGATACATGTAATTCAAAATATTTGAATAGAGAACAGGATTTGAAGTTAAAAATAAAACAGAATTTCCACATAACTGGGTAATGAACAGGGCAATATGTCAGAAGTGACAATTGGCATTTTGAGGCCAGATAATGCCTACTAAATTCTGCTTTGTCTCTTCTTCATTCTAGCAAGAAGGGACAGTCATTTTGAACAGCACTAGAGATACTGTGTCTAATTAAGAAATGGGTTCTCAGGACTAAATCAACAAAAGTTTCAAGTAACTGTCTTACAGAACTAACTAGGAGGTGGGAAATAATTGAAGCTTTTAAACATTCTTTTACATGTAAAAGTTACTGTAGCTGTTTCCTTTCAATAAGTAACAGAAAACCCTTAATGTAAAGGTCTGTGTGCTGTTGGCAAAACTGTACTATGTGATACCCAGGCTTCAATAAGGATATGCGTAAGAGACAGAAAGCCTGCCATTGAATTTCCTTCTAGTATCTTCTGTAGGGTTGGTTTGCTGTGTAAATATTGCGTAAATTTAGTTTTGTCATGGAGTATTTTGTTTTCTCCATCTATGTTGAATGAAAGCTTTGCAGGGTATAGTAGTCTGGGTTGACATTTGTGATCTCTTAGAGTCTCCATGACACTTGCCCAGGCCCTTCTGGCTTTCATAGTTTCTGATGAGAAGTCCGGTGTGATTCTGATAGGTCTACCTTCCTGATAGATCTACCTTCATATATCACTTGCCTTTTTCCCTTGCTGCTTTTAATATCTTTTCTTTGTTCTGTAGATTTAGTGTTTTGACTATGATGTGACGTGATGTGTTTCTTTTCTGGTCTAGTCTATTTGGTGTTCTGTAGGCCTCTTGTATATTTATGGACATCTCTTTCTTTAAGTTGGGAAGAAGACCAGTTCTGCTAGGCCACAGAGGAGGACTGATAAAACAGATTCCTGATAAAACAGGGCCAGACGAAAGGGGAGGAGGTCCTCCCCATTCCGTGGACTTGGAAAGGGGCAGGGAGAAGCTGAAAGAGGGAGGGTGGAATTGGGAGGGAATAAGGGAGCGGGATACAGCTGGGATACAGAGTTAATAAAATGTAACTAATAATAACAAACAATAAAAATATATATAAAAAATAAAAAAAGAAACATAAAAAAAAGAGACAGAAAGCCTTGTCAATAGAAGGCGCTATGGAAGTAGAGGGATATGGGCTGAGATTCCTATAGCCTGAGAAAGTGCCCTAAAACAGATACAAAGGCCTGTGTACAATTTCATGGCAGCTAATATTTAGTGCACTGTGTAGTTTTAAGCTGTTTGTACCTCTTGTATCCACCAATCTTTAGAATGTCATCAGGAAGCATTAGTATTAATTTTATCTTTATGATACTATTAAAGATACCAAGCCTCATAGAATTTAATGGCCTGTATTCAGTAGAAATTGGTGGTACTGGTGCTAAAAAATCAGGTCTTCAAAGCAACTTCTATGTATTTTCTACTACACCATAAAAATACCCAGAGCATGAGTATTGACTTAAAAAAAAAAAAAAGACATCCCTAAAGGATAACAGAAAAGAGAAAAAGAATTAATAAAGTCATCAACCAAGTAACTTATGGGTTTAAAATGCATTTGAACTATGACTTTCATAATAGATAATCCAAAAACTTAAAAGAATTTCCAAATATGGAAAATATACTGTGTGGTAGATAGGTGTACTTACTCATGCTTACAAATCAACATTTTAGCATCCTAAAATCCCAAACTCATAAGTACCTAAACCCATTTTGTCATACTTCATTTATACAAAAGCCCTCCACAGCCAAGACTGTTCCTTTCATATTAAGGCTCATTAATCATTACTCAGCAAAATGACCACCATTAAACTCCACAAATGGCAAGGGTCCGCTGTGGGACACAAATTAAGAAAAGAAAATAAACACATAATCTGAAGGTGGGGAGTAAGATGCAAAACAGTAATCAATGGGGCAGTGGCTAAAAAAGATGAGGATGGAATCAGATAGTGTTCTTAGACAAGAATATCTTTGAAGAGCCTAGTATGATTTGAAAAAAAAAAATCAGTGGAATAGAAGCTAAGTGTGGAAAAAAGATCATGATGGCAGTAAGAAAGTCAATATCACTTACCAGTAAAGCCGACCAAAGCTTAAAACAACTGGATAATAAAAAGTATTATGTAACTGAGCTCTGATTTTTGAAGTCCTGCTTCATTTTCTTGACCTCACCTCTCTTTCTTCATGTGGGGTTTGTCCATCCAGTCGACAATATTCATAACCACGCCACATACAATAATCCTCCAAAATGTCTAGGAGTCGAGTCATCTGGCTAAAAATGAGAACTCTTGACCCTAAAGTATTTTACCAGAAAATCGAGTTACATGACTTGTATAAAGTAAAAAATGTCATAATGAAACACATTCCCTCTGTGTAATTAATATATACTAATAATTTCAACTAACTTCAAATTCAAAAACAAAACAAGGCATCAAAAACAATCTGAATAATTTGGCATATGAACATGCCAATACATACACACACACAAATTAATATAGTTACATAAAATTATGGATTTGTTAAACTATAAGTTTTTCTTTAGGTCATCAAAAATCTTATGTACACACTTCCATGACTAAGATTCTGTCTTGTGTTTGTCCCAAGGATCTACAGCGGTCCATATAATCTCATTTGCACTACTATTGTAACTGCCTTTCACCTTGTCTCCTGGTTTTACTCTCTCATTCCCAGTAGATACTCTGCATAGTGCTTCCAATGTTATTTTCCTGACATACAATTCTGATTATGTTATTTTATTTCACCAGGTCTTCTTTAACTCCTCTACATCCAAAATAAAAGTCTAAACCCTTTAAAGTACACTTTTAAAGACTTTCCATAGTTTGGCACCATATAACCTTACCAATTTCATCAAATGCCACACTACCTTACATATGATAAACTCTTCTGCTGTGTTCTCTTCTTTCACACCCATTTCACTGCCCTAGAAAAGCACCCCTTCTCCTTATCAATGGCTCACTCCTACTGACAATCCCCAGTCTTCACTTCAAATAACATCACTGTGAAGACATTCTTAATTCCAGTTTTTTTCAACAGAGCAGTGAAGTGCACTTAGCATAATGAATTGCAACTCTTCTTCCTCACTGCACTGTGAGCTTCTCCAAGGCAAAGCCATTGTTATGTTCATCTTTGCATTCCTAACAAGCAGGAAAATTCCTGACAAATAGTAAGTAGTCAACAATATCTACTAACCAAGTGGATGAATGAAAAGGAAACATTTTATTCAAATACAAATCATTTTTGTGAGTTTATTCCATGGTAACTTAAAAAAAAATCCCTTACTCACCCTGTTCTTTAATTCTCGCCAATAGCTTATCCAGAGCCACCATTTTACCACTATTTATGACAATGTGTTCATCTGTCGTATAAGGTGGACCAGGCTCTGCACCATCAAATAGATAAGGATGATTACAACACTTTCGGAGCTGCATCAGAATATTCAAGAGTCGCATCTTGTCCACCTTGCCAGCAGAGTTTAAAACATCAATATCTTTCATCAGAATTTTTGTATACCTAAAATGTTAAATTATATTTCATTAATTTTAAGGACACAATCCCATAAAGAAATGCCCCCAGTAGCAATACAGTTAGATTCCTATTAAATAGCAATAAAGTAGATAAAGGCAGATTTGAATTGAGTGCTGGAGAAGGTATTCAATGGTAGAATGCATCCATAATATACACAGTGCTTTGGGTTCAATCACAAAAAATGTCTTTGATTTGAAATAAAATATGATCTGAAAAAAACCAAGAAACAAAGATGTGAACATTTCGTTTTCAATGTTGCTTACTTAAATATTGCTTTTGGACCTGTGTCTCTATACTATATTCATTACTAGAAAGTGTCATCAGCTAATAAATTGTTAAACCAACTACATCTGATAATAATCTACTAATTACAATATTTGCTGAAAGTTTACTTGTTTGGGCTTTATTCTTGTTTAAGCTCACAACAATCTCATTTTCCTTTTTAAATAAAACACATGAATTTTCCAATAAAATATTTGAATAATATGACTACCATTTAAGTACACAATTTGATTTTCATCGATGAACAACCAACAAATACTATTTTAATAAATCCTTATATATATAAATAAATGTTATTGGATATAAAATATCTCACCACTCTCTTTGCATTTTACTCAGTCCCAAGTATATCTTTGTTTCCTTTTTGGGAGGCAGATTCTTCTCTACATCAGTTTTTATACGGCGTAATAAAAATGGTTTTAAAACCTAAAAAGCAATATTTGTTATAAAACTGATAAAGTGTTTACAATTTCAAATTGTGTATTTCATTAATGCTATAGTTTTAACAGTTATAATTTCATCCTGATGTATAATCTAACAAAAAGCAACAGCTGCCTAATTTCTCAGCAAATAACCACCAAATAACGACTCCTTGCAGAATCAGAATGGAGGTTGGGGTGTTGCATATAAGAAAAAGAGTGCATGTTCAGAATTCACAAGACTCTAGGTTCAACTTCAAGATTCTCTAAAATTAAGGGAGGATAATTAAACATCCATGACTTGAGAGGAGAAAATAATCTAAAATTTAAGACTATTGACTATTGAAGAATCATTGAAGAGATCTTAGTTAACATACTGCTCTCTTTTTTTATTTTTTTATTTTTTATTTTTTTTATTAATTACACTCTATTCATTTTGTATCCCCCCATAAGCCCCTCCTTCCTCCCCTCCCGATCCCACCCTCCCTCCCCTTTCTGCATGCATGCCCCTCCCCAAGTCCACTGATAGGGGAGGTTCTCCTCTTCTTTCTGATCTTAGTCTATCAGTTCTCATCAAAAGTGGCTGCATTGTCCTCTACTGTGAACATACTGCTCTTAACACAAGATTTTTGAACATAGGGATAATATGAAATGAGAGTTTCTGTTTAAATTCCCTCAAAATAAACTTAAAATCAGTCATTCAAAATAATTAAATAAATAAATTAAAGAAGAACTTAATGTTTAAAAACAGGACACGAATGAATAGAGACAAAAGCTAATTAGTATGTATCTGGAACACAGATTTCTTCACCAGAAAATAATGGTGTTCCAACTCATGGAGTACCTACCAGCAATGAGCCACAAACTGCACCATTAGTGTTATAAGTAGTAGTTAATGTTTATAATAAACATTGAAAAGAATATGATTATTTGTTTTTTAAAATTTTAAGATGTGTTTATTTTACTTAATATGTGTGAGTATTTTGCCTGCATGTATGTATGTGCAACATGTGTGCCTGATGCACACATGAAGAAATTATTATAGACAGAAGAAAATATTATAGCCCCTGGAATTAAAGTTATGGACAGTTGTGAGCTACCATGTAAGTGTGGGGAATCAAACCCAAGTTCTCTGTACATGAGAGTAACATGCTTCTTCACCACTAAACTGCCTCTCCAGCTCTGATTTAAGCTTGGGTTTAAATTGAAATTTCTCCAGCTCTGATTTAGCTCTGGTTTAAGGTTGGGTTTTTTGGAGACAAGGTTTCTCTATGTAGCCCTGGCTGTCACAGAATTCCCTCAGTAGACCAGGCTGGCCTCAAATTCAGAGATTCACCTGCCTCTGTCTCCTGAATGATGGGCTAAAGGTATGTGCCATCATGCTAAATATGATTATTTTAATTTCAGTAAGTTCACCAAAGTCACTATTGCTAACAAGTAAAAGCAGCTTTAAAGACTCAGACTTTAATTTTTTAACTTTGTTTCTTCTTTCATCTAAAAATAATTCATTTATGTACATTTTAATATACACTATATTTTGCATTGAAAATAACAATACCCAGAACCTCTGCTCAGATGTAGCCTGTGGTAGCTCAGTAACCAATTGGTTTCCCATAGTGAGGGGAACAAGGACTATTTCTAACAGGAACTCAATGACTGGCTCTTTGGCCTCCCCACCCCCCAAGGGAGGAGCAGTCCTGTTAGGCCACAGAGGAGAGCTTTGCAGCCAGTCCTGAAGATACCTGATAAAACAGGATCAGATGAATGGGGAGGAGGTCCCCCCTATCAGTGGACTTGGCAAGGGGCACGGTGGAGATGAGGGAGGGAGGGAGGGACTGGGAGGGAATGAGGGATCGGGACACGGCTGGGATACAGAGTTAATAAAATGTAACTGATAAGAAAAAATAAAATACAAAAAAAAAAGATAGCAAAAAAAAAAGAAAATAACAATACCTATTTCCAAGACTGCTACAGAAATTTATGGTAACTCATGTATAGATATTATTCTTACCAAAATATGCAATAAACTGTAGCCATTATTAATACAGATCTATAAGAGATAATAAGACTGGGTTTCTGGTTTGAGTATCTATATTCATCTAAAAATTCATTACCATTTAAGTGTCTGTAAGACTTTGAGGCAAAAATCAAAAACCTCGAAGGGCAGTAGAAAGTTAAAGGTTGATCCCATTGGAAACAGAGTCCAAGATCTTTAGAAGATACTTGAAATAACAAGATATATAGAATTCTATATATAATATGATGTTTCATAGTGTATGTGTATGATAAATTTAATTTATAAATACAGAATAGAAATTTGATAACAATACTAATAATAAAATACAATAAGTATATGTATATATATACTACAACAATATATTATAATACAAATTATATGAATGTATTTTTTCCAATAGCAGGAATTATTTTGTATTAAAGATAATAATACTCCCTTTCAAGACTGGTATGGAAATTGGTGGTATTTCATGAACAGAGGTTAATCATTGTTTTTCTTTCTATGGTTTTCTATATTTTTGAACTAGAATTAATCATTAGTAACTGAAATGATAGAAAGCAAATCTGTAGATAAAGAAGTACTATATATATTTTTCAAGACTATTACGAGACATGAACTTGAGAGAAGTATATAGACTAAGCATATAAGGGAAACTATGAGAGTGGATATCCAAAGAAACTAATTACTACTGGTATACCCTAAATTTAGCAACTGGAAAGTCATTGAAAACTATGTGAAAAAGGTTTCACTGATATGAAATTGAAAGCGATCAGTAACCAATGGGTGTATGAGTAAATAGGAGGTTAGGTAGTAAAGATGTCTAGGTAAACTACTCTTTTAGAAGTTTGGTTGTCAAGGAAAGAAAATCACAGTTCAGAACCCAAAGTTGGGTAGGCAAAAACAGACAGATGAATGGACAAAATGATGGACGAATGGATAGAGAAAGCAAAAAATGCTTCACAGATACGCACTGGAGAACCCAGGGAAAATAAACTCATAAGCATCCTTCAAAGAAAAGGGATGTTTAGCATATCATCCTCCAGGAATGCTGGGAATGGATGTGGTTTACAACGTGGTAATCCTTTGCTGTCTGGTGAGCCAGACTCTACCTTTATCTTCCAGAATTTATTTTTTACTATCCCAGACCCTTTCCATTGCTCTTAGGCCATAAAACTTATCCTTGTGAAAGTTGACATTTGTAGTTTACAACAGCTCATGTGACTTCTATATTATCTTAAGAGGCAGGAGAAATCCTGACTCCCACGGGAATTATGTTTACCTCAGTCAGTCCCACAGACCCTTATCTTGAGCATATTTCCCAGGTCCACAAGAACCCATCTTACAGAAGAAGCCATATGTACTTTGTAAAGATCTTCAATGTAAACATGTACAAAGCTTTCTTGTACTCATGAGGATGAGTTAATTCTTAACATATTTTTTTTTCAAAATTGTGCTGTGTTTAAATATGGCAAAAAAATAAACAAGCTGAAGTCAGAGTCCAAGAGGTCTTGGTCCAGTACTGATTACCTAAAGCATGCTGAACAGAGTTTCATTCCTCCCTTACTCTGATCATTTTTCTTGACTTCTGCAGGGACCTCCCATAGATAGAGAGTAAATCAGATAGGTAGATAGGTAGATAGACAGACCTGTGTGTGTGTGTGCGCGTGCGTGCGTGCGTGCGTGCGTGTGTGTGTGTGTGTGTGTGTGTGTGTGTGTGTATTAGGTCAGGTAGGTATGGGTTTAGAAAGCCAGATCCCTTGCACTATGGGCTATAATCCATTTAATATCTTTTGTAAATTCCAAAATTTCTCAAGGACTTCAGGGTAGCTACTTGAGCAAGCTTATGTATTGAGGGAAAGGAGACAATATACAGGAAGTAAAAATTTTAGTTATAGGAATATATCATGGAGTAAAGTCAACAAGGAAACAATAAACGATGAGATTCAGAGTTCATACAGAAAAAATTGTCATTGAGCATAGAAAAGATAATGCTTCCCCTCAGACAATTGATTAACTGAAGTATTCATAGATTTGAAAGAGAGGCCTACATAAATGAATTACTACCAAGTGGTATCTGTTTTGCCATTCAGAAGAGAATACTGCTACAAACTGAGAGGGGTGGAGGGCAAGAAATACCTGACATAGAAATATTGAGGTTGGGAGATCTGTTAGAAGAAAAAGAAAGGAAGGCTATGGAAGATCATGTTGAAGGAATCAATATCATGAAAGTCTATCTTATCCTAGAGAACATGAAATCATAGTAGTTCTCACCTGTAGAACTGTAGAATTGTCTTTGTCAGTACAAAAAAAAAAGGTCACTATACTCATACAGGGCAACAGCATTACATTAGTCCACTTTAGAGTTGTCAGGACAGGTGTAGCAGAGGAACAAGGATGCAAATAGGCTTGAGAGTAAAAGCAAAGGAGTTTCAAGTGTTAGAAATGTTTGTTTTTTAGGGTTTTTTTTTTTTGTTTTTTTTGTTTGTTTGTTTGTTTTGTTTTGTTTTCAGATAGATACCCTGGAGAAGCAAGGTTCTGGGGACTAGAGGTCTTTGCCATGTTATAGAAGAAATAGAATGAGTATATTTATTAAAGAATGGAAATGTTGACCAATAAATATGAGGGCATCACCTGAAGAGTAACAAATGACAAGAATGGGTGGAAGATGTAACCAAAGGAGGACTCGTAACTCTAGAGCAGAGGTTTATACATAGAGTAGAGCAGCAGTGGCTCAGGGGAGTCACTCAGCAATAAGGAGAATAGTGATGCTATCTAGAGGATTGTGAGGTATGAGAGGAGTGAAGAGCCTACACAAGGAAGGACCAGAAGATCATGGAGACCAAAAAAAAAAAAGGTTATTCTGGAGAGGTCAAAGATGTAATGGCTTTGCTGACCATGGAGTTCTTTAAAAGGATATAAGGGAGAAGCAATAAGACTGAGACAAGCAGGAAGCCCACAAGGTCAGATTCTATGAAAGTTTGTTTTGTTGCTCAATTATATTCCGATAAATTTATTGTTGACTTCTATGACCAATATTACTTACTGCATGGAGTCTTTCCACAAGTTTTTGATCACCAAGGCAATTCTTAGTGTCAAACCAAGAATCAAAGTCCTGTAGAGGGTGAAAATTCTACAATAAGTATATTTTAAAAGTACATTTTAATTGTGATAGCCAGTATGTTTTTCTTTTATAATAGGTGAAAATACTGCAACCATTGATAAAATGTTAATGGAAATATAAAGGAACACCATCACCTTAGAAAATATTAGGCTGCACTTTATCAGATAACATATCTAGATAAGAAGAATAGGATAAAAATACCAATCATTAAAACCCTTAAATCATTTTCAATTTGCTGATCTGTGTTAGCTAAGCACCCTGGGTTCAACCCTGAGCACCACTACTCCTCAGACATATATTTTGTTTTAAACTTACATCTGCAGAATTAAAGACATCCGGCAATAAGAAGTTAAGCAATGCCCAGAGTTCATGCAAGTTATTCTGCAAAGGTGTCCCAGTTAAAAGTAAGCGATTAGTTGACTTGAACTCACGAACAATCTCTGAAAGCTAAAAAATAAAAATAAAGTTATATAAGAATTGTTCTGGCTTTTGGAATACTCAACATTCAGTTATACATTTCACTCAATATATTCATGATATACTACTTCTTGAAAATTAATTTTCTATGAAAAAAATACTCTACTTCGTGTGGCATTGATACAATAAAGGACAACTGAACACTAATATCTTAGACATTTTCATACCTGAAAGAATATAAATCTGAGTAGTATTCCATTGTGTAAAAGTACCAAAATTTCTGTATCCATTCCTCAGTTGAGGGACATCTGGGTTGTTTCCAGGTTCTGACTATTACGAATAAAGCTGCTATGAACACGGTTGAACAAATGTCTTTGTTGTGTACTTGAGCATATTTTGGATATATGCCTAGGAGTGGTATAGCTGAATATCGAGGAAGCACTATTCCTAATTGTCTGAGAAAGTGCCAGATTGATTTCAAAAGTGGTTATACAAGTTTACATTCCCACCAAAAATAGAGGAGGGTTCCCCTTTCTCCACAACTTCTCCAGCAAGTATTGTTACTTGAGTTTTTGATCTTAGCCACTCTGATAGATGTAAGGTGAAATCTCAGGGTCATTTTGATTTGCATTTCCCTGATGGCTAAGGATGTTGAGAATTTCTTTAAGTGTTTCTCTGTCATTCTATATTCCTCTACAGAGAATTCTCTGTTTAGCTCTGTACCCCATTTTTAATTGGATTACTTGATTTGCTTTTTAACTCCTTTAGTTCTTATATATTCTGGATATTAACCCTCTGTCAGATATGGGGTTGGTGAAGATCTTTTCCCAGTCTGTAGGCTGTCAATTTGTTCTGAAGACAGTGTCTTTTGCTTTACAGAAGCTACTCAGCAATTAAAAGCAAGGAAATCATGAAATTTGCAGGCAAATGGTAGGACATAGAAAAGATCATTCTGAGTGAGGTATCCCAGAAGCAGAAAGACACACATGGTATATACTCAATTATAAGTGGATATTAGACATACAATAAAGGATAAACATACTAAAATCTGTACACCTAAAGAAGCTAAACAAGGAGGAACTGGGGTTAATAGGATCAATCCTCACTTAGAAAGACAAAAGGTAAGGACATTGGAAGAAAGAGAAAACAAGAAAAAGGAAAAGAGCTTACCACTGAGGGCCTCTGAAAGATTCTACCTAGCAGTATATCAAAGCAGATGCTGAGACTCATAACCAAATTTTGGGCAGAGTGCAGGGAATCATATGAAAAAAGTGGTAGTTAGTAAGACCAGGAGAGTACAGGAGCTCCACAAGGAGAGCAACAGAACAAAATTATCTGGACTCAGGTGTATTTTTTGAGACTGATACTCCAACCAAGGTACATTCATGGATAGAACCTAGAACCCCTGCACAGATATAGCCCATGGCAGCTCAGTATCCAAGTGAGTTCCCTAGTAAGGGGACAGGGACTGTCTCTGACATGAACTCAGTGGCTGGCTTTTTGACCACCACCACCACCCCTAAGGGAGGAGCAGCCTTGCCAGGACACAGAGGAGGACATTGCAGCCAGTCCTGATGAGACCTGATAAGCTATGGTAGGGTGGAAGGGGAAGTGGACCTGCCCTATCAGTGGACTTGGAGAAGGGCATGGGAGGAGATGAAGGAGGAAGGGTAGGATTAGTAAGGAATGAGGGAGGGGGCTACAGCTGGGATGCAAAGCAAAGAAAATGTAATTAATGTAAAAAAATAAAAATTTAATTAAAAAATACATAAATCTTATTTACATCTGAGATCCCTCCCCAAGAATAAAAAATTTTAGTTTCTCCATTTTGGATCTCAGAAAATCAAACTTCTTCCACTCAATCCAAGCTATCATTTTATATAACAAAATCTTCTACTTACCAACCATGTTCATCTACATGTATAGCTAAGCTCCAACTCCTCCTGCTCACAAATATTCAGTGCCAGGATTGAGCTCATTTTCCCTGATATTATCTATTAACATTTCAAGTTTCAGACCACAAAAAAATATGACAAAAACATAAAATCAGCACTTTTTAAAAATCCTCTTTCCATAACGCTCTTAATGAAGCAATTATTCTTTAACATGCATTCTCTTATCGATGTTTAGCTCCAATGTGAAATGCTATGCTCCACCTGGTGGTTTTGTTCCAGTTCTGTCCCTGTTTCTCCTAAAGTAGCCCAACAATCCAAAAAGTGAAGTTTTTCCTACTGTTGATGAATTTGAATGGCAGCAAATAATTGATATTTTTCAACATTAACACCAGACTCTAATTCACACAATTAAGATAATGTCAAAAAAAAAA